AGTGATGCAAAAAAAAACCTGACAAAATTTCAAATCCATTCATAATTTTTAAAAGTTCACAAATTAGCTCTAGAAGGGACATTTCTCAACACTATAAATAGCATTTACCAAAAACCCAACACTTGACATTGTGCTTAATGTTGAAAGACTGAATTGTTCCCCTTAAAAACCAACAAGGAACACGGCAAGCATGTCCAATCTCACCACTCCTGTTTATGATAATACTGGAAGTCCTAGCCAGTGCAGTAAATCAAGAAAGAGAAATAATACATATTGAAAACAAACAAATTATAGACTGTTCCTACTCATAGATACCATAGATCATCTGTGTATAAATTTTCAACAATCTGAAAAATATTTTTAAACTTCTGGAAATAATATGTCAGTTTGGAAAGATTGATACAAGGCTAATAAATCATTGGAAACCATACAATTTTCACTAACTTCCCCCACCCTCAGAAAACTCACTTAAACCTAAAATTAACAAAAAACATGTAGGATATAAACCACAAAATGTTGATGAAAGAAATTAAAGTGAACTAAATGGAAAGAAACCCCATTTTTATAGACTGAAAGGTTTAAAATAGTAAAGATGCCAAATATGTCAAACTTGATTTATAGACTTAATGTAATGTTAATAAAAATATTAACATATTTTATAGAGACAAATTTATTCTAAAATTAATATGGAAGCCAAAAAATTAGAATAGCTAAGACAATTTTGAGAAAGAACATTGAGGAATCAGATTACCCAATTTTAAAACTTACTACAGAGACACAGTAATCAAAACAGTGTAGTAGCAATGGATTAGAAACACACAAGTATGGGTAACTGATTTTGACAAAGGTGTACATACAATTCAATGGGAAAAAAGACAGGTTTAACAAGAAATGGTGTTGGAACAATTGCAAATACACAGAAAAAGAAAATGAACCTTAACTGAAAGCTCCCACCATAAAAAAATAAATAAATAAATAAAATCACAATCTATAAAGAAAAAAGAAATGAATATATTGAGCTTCATGAAATTTAAAAATGTTGTCTCTGAAATAGACCTTACTAAGAGAGTGAAGGAGGTTACAGAAGGCAAGAAAATGTTTCCAGCAAGAGCATGTGTCCATAATATATAAGAAACATTAAAAAACAACACAGCAAGAAAACAACCCAAATAGAAAATGGGCAAAACTTGAACCATCACTTCAACAAAGATGATATACAAATAGCAAATAAGTAATCAGAAAGTGTTCAACATCATTAGCCATTAGGAAAATGCAAGTTAAACTCAAGACCATAGACTACTACATACTTAATAGAAGAGCTAATGTAAAGTATAATGACAATACCAAGTGCTAATGAGGACGAAGAGTAACCAATTCTCTCGGGTTGCTAGTAGAATGGCTAAAATAAAATAGACTGAAAATAGCAAGTGCTGGAGAGGATGGAGAACAACTGAATCTCAAACTCTGCTAGTAAGAATGTAAAATAGTGCGGCCACTCCAGAGAAAAATTTGGTAGTTTCTTATAAAGCTAAACACAACTTACCACATATGTCAGCAATTGTACAACTGAATATTTATCCTAGAGAAATAAAACTATGTTCACACAAAACACTATATGTAGATTTCACTGCATCTTTATTTATAACAGTTAAAATCAGGGAAACAATGTAAATCTATTTCAAGGATGAATGAACAAAATGGCATATCAAGTGTGTATAATACTCACTAATAAAAATAAAACTGTTGATCAATTCAGATAAACCTTAAGAACAATTTGCTGAGTGACAAAAATGCCAAAAGCTTACATACTCCCTATTAATAAAAATTCACAAATTTATATAAATACAACTTATTTATAAAAATAATTCCATTCTTATAAAATTCATGAAATGACAAAATTATACTGATGGAAAAAAGATTAAGTGAATGGCAGAGAGGTTTTGATAGACAGTGTAAGGATAAAAAGGCAGCATAAGGGAGTTTTTTTAGATTAGTTTTATGTCCTGGTTGTGGTAGTGGTTACACAAATCTATACATGTAATATGACTTCTTAGAATTACAAACTAAAAAAACTCATGTAAAACTAGTAAGATCCAAATAAGGAGTTCAGTTAATAGTATTCTACTGATGTCATTTTCCTGGTTTTAATAAGAAAATATGTTTATGTAAGATGTTTTTAGTGAGAGAAGTTGGGTGAAGAATACTAGGGAAGTCTCTAGATTATTTTTGCAATTTCTTGTGAGTTTAACATTATTTAATCTGAAGGTGGTTTTCTACATTTTTTGGTCATATACGTAAGGTTAGCTAAGTCCAACTATGTTCTTATATTTATAAATTTTAGATATTCAGTTTTCTTTTAAACAACTTCAGTATGCTAAGTTTACAATTAAGTTTAGAGTCAAAGAAAGGTAACAGCAAATCACATATGAGGTGATCATAAACACTCCTGCATTGTTCTGTGGTATTCTCTGACATCTATCAATTCTCCAATTCTCCCATATGAAGAGGGTATCCTACAATTCAATTCTGACAATAACTACTCCAGGTTAGTGCAGACTCCACAACTGGAGTGGCTCAGTCCAACATGACTGACCCCACAACAGATGCTAGTCAAAAGTCTTGAGTACTTCTGTATTTCTGATTAGCTATAAATTGAGGGTTCCCATGGCCCCCCTCCTCAGCTTGAATAATTCGCTAAAACAGCTCACAAAATTCAGGAAAAGTTTACTTACATTTACTGGTATATTACAAATGATGCAAAGTTACAGCCAGATGAAGAGGTACATAGAGTGAAGTCTAGAAGGGTCCCAAGCTCAGGAGCCTCTGTTCCATGGAGTTGGAACTGCATCACCCTCCTGGCAAATGGATATGTTTGCCAATTTGGAAGTTCCTATACCACACTGTTCAGTTCAATTTCCGGACTCCCTCCCTTTCCAAGAGGTGGGGGAAATGGGACTGAAAGTTTCCACTGTCTAATTATTCAATCTCACTGCTGAAGTCCAGTTTCAGCAAGAGGTGGGTACCCGAAAAGGGATGGAGAGGGTCAGCGAAAATAACAAACACAGACAGAGACCTCAATGCATCACTATGCACATTCTCTCTCTGTGGGCTGTCAGCGCTTTGGGGCTGGAGCCCAGTAAAGCATGAGACAATGCCTTTTATTTAGATTTTTCTCTGCAGGGGGGTTTTGGGTACTATTTCTGTTGTATCAGCAAGCTTAAATCAATAGTCCAAAAAGCAGGAAGGAAACTTTTTTAGAGGTCAGCCAGTCGTTTCCTTTTGTCAGCATGTCTCAGGTGATCAACTCATGCTTCTTTTTCCTGGAATCAGGTTATCAGATCGGAACCACCCCTTCATTGTCTTGAAGTTATCTTGTGACCTTTTTCTGTTAGCAAGCTGTGGTAATATCCACCCTATTAACAGGGTGGCCTCTATTTTGGTTACAAAGTGTTAGATAACCTATATCTATTCTTAAATGTAAATACAACTTTGCTAAAATGAAAAATGTTAACATTTAAATTCTAATGGGGGTCTAATGATTTTATGTTCTAATGGAATGAACCTACTGTTCATATGGAAAAAGGATAGTGGATATTTGAGCAGCATTATCATGCACATTTTAAGGATATGCATTGGCTGTGGCCCTGTAATCTTGATCTAAATGTCAAAGTGCCCTTGTGCACAGCACCATCCCTCACAAAACTAGTTGCACTCTTATTTTTCTAAGATCTAATTTTGCAGGTTTAATAATTTTACAGCATATATTTTTATCCCAACACCTGATTCTTAATGATTTATTTAAAACCGGACACCACCAAGTAAAGGGAATTCTACAGTTTCATTCCCACATACTTAATTTATCCCAATCATATAATTTCCCATTAATACCAACCATTCTCTTGCCATTAATATAATCTCCAGTAAATGATGTTTGCCAACTTACATCATATTTTGGACGTCCCCTAGGGGGATACCAAATTTTTCCTTTCCCCATTTTGTATCCTATATATCCATTTACCCAGATGGTCGGGAGAGGATGGAAATTTCCTTTTTGAAATAACTTCGCTTGTTTAGGCTGCAGCTCATATTTAGTCATGAGCAGTGCTTTTGGAACATATGTTGGTGTGGTCAATTTATCATAAGGGGATAATTTTAAATTGTCCAATTTACTCGGATCCTCTGTGGGAATGTTTAGTTCAATGACCACAAAATCATTTGTGTTATTTTTATAATCTTTTGGGAATTCAGAGAACTGCCATGCTAACCAAAATATCGAAAGAGAAAGCAAAAGCAGTACCATGAAGCCGAGGCCGTAGCCCTTACGGTTGTAGCAAGTGCTCATAGCTGTGGCCTTGCCAAGAGCTCTCCCTCCAGCAGCCTTGCCAACTCGGAGAGGGCAGCCCAAGCTGATTCCTTTAGGATCCTGCCATGGCGTGGACTGTGCCATCTCACCAACCTCACTCTGAGGCTATTTAGGGGCCCCAACTTAAGTAACATAAACTCAGGTGTGATTTAGATGGGCTTGCTATGTGTAACAAAAAACACTCCTACCACTCATGAAATTCCAAGGGGTTTAGGGGCTCTGCACCAGGAACCAGGGACAAGGACCAAATATATTTCTTTTTATACCACAATTGTACATAACAATAAAAATAATCTGGGCTGTCCAGTTAGTTCACTTGGTTAGAGCATGGTGCTGATAACACGAAGGTCAAGGGTTCTGATCCCTGCAGCAGGCAGCTGCTAAAGGGAAAAAAAAAATCACTGATGAAAAGAGTAGACTATTTTTTAAAATTGTGGAATAACTGACAAGGCTACTAGAAATGACATTCAAGGTAGTCTCTTGGAAAATGCACATCGGGTGTCTCATCTGATGTATAATGAGGTTAGACTTATAACAAAAAGCATTTAAACACTCATAATTTTCACTGAACTTCATTCCTTCATGAGCTCTCTCATATTTTGCTAAAGGTGCTTCACATTTACCATATTCAGAACACTTTTATTTTCTTTTTAAATTTTATTTGTTTTTCACATTATATATCTATTGGACAGAACACATTTGTTTTCTATTTCATTTCCTGACAAATGATGAAGCAGAATTTACCACAAAAAATCCTGTCATATATACAGTCATTTTAACATTATTCTCCAATGTAAACTGACACTCACTCAGTAACGACTTTGCCATGGTCATTACATTTCTATCAATAATGAGCTCAGTGATGATCTATGATGAACCCTGACTAGTCTACCTTCCCACAGAAGGCTTTTCTGTCTCTGCATTCACAGAATTTGTCTCACTATACATTTTTCAGATATAGGAACTAGAAGTTTTGCTCAAGGCATCACATTAGATGAATTAGGGTTTATCCAACATGTTTTCACTGACAGCAAATGTGAGGTAAAGGATTGCTAAAGGCACTATCATATTTTACTGTATTCACCATGTTTATCTCCTGGGTAAACTCTTTAACTCCTGAGAGCACATATCTGACAATAGGCAGTACCATGATTACATCCAATCTCCCTAGAAACACACTGATATTTAATGAAGTGTGAGTTGCCACAGATGGCATTTCCACAGTCATTGCATCAATAGGCATGAGTTCATTTGTAAGTAATAAGCTGTGACTCTCTGTTAAAGCAATTTTCAACTTGACTGAATCTACCCATTTCCCTTGTGTGCATTTTCTTATGTTTAACAAGGTTTGACAAGTGGGAGAAGGCTTTCTCACAATTGCTACATCCATATGGTCTCTCTCCTGTATGAGTTCTTTGATGTACATTGAGTACTGACTTTGTGGTGAAGGCTTTTCCACATTCATTGCACTCGTAAGGTTTCTCTCCTGTGTGAATTCTCTGATGGGTAATGAGACCATATTTGTGCGAATAGGATTTTCCACACTCGGTACATACAAACGGAGTCTTTCCTGTATGACATCTCTCATGTTGTATGAGGCATATCTTCTGGCTGAATGCTTTACCACATTCATTGCATTCATAAGGCTTCTCTCCAGTATGAGTTCGCTGATGTATAATGAGAGTGCGCTTTGTAGTGAAGGCTTTTCCACACTCGTTGCATATATAAGATTTCTCTCCCGTATGAGTTCGCTGATGTATGATGAGAGTGCGCTTCACAGTGAAGCCTTTTCCACATTCATTGCATATATAAGATTTTTCCCCAGTGTGAGATCGCTGATGTACAATGAGATTGCTCTTCACAGTGAAGCCTTTCCCACATTCACTACACGTATAGGGTTTCTCTCCAGTATGAGTTCGCTCATGTACGACAAGATAACGCTTCATAGTGAAGCCTTTTCCACACTCACTGCATATATATGGTTTCTCCCCCGTATGAGTTCGCTGATGTACAATGAGATTGCTCTTTACGGTGAAACCCTTTCCACATACATTGCATACATAAGGTTTCTCTCCACTATGAGTTCGTTGATGAGCAATTAGATAGCGCTTCATTGTAAAGCCTTTTCCACACTCATTGCATATATAGGATTTCTCTCCTGTATGGGTTAGCTGATGTACAACAAGACTGCTCTTCACAGTAGAGCCTTTCCTATATTCATTGGGTATATAGGGTTTGTCTCTTGTATGAATTCTGTGATGCTTAGTGAACATGAGACTCCTGGATGATTTCTCACACTGACCACTTCCTGGTTTCTCTCCTGTATGAATCATCTCATGGCAAATGAGCTGAGACTTCCTGAAGAAGGTTTTCTCACAATCAGTGCATGCATGGGCTTTCTCAATTCTGTGAGTCATCTGATGCTTCAGGACTTGGAATTTAGTACCCATGCATTTTGTACTTCCACAGAATTTAAGTTCATGTGTACTATGTAGAAGGGTTTTCTCACCTCTATTAAACTCAATGGGGTTCTTTACTTCATGTCTTCTCTTCTGGTTGACTAAACTTAAACTTGATTTCAAAGTTTTTCTGTATAAATCAAACATATCATGATTTTGGATTACAGAAAAATGTGTTTTGCTCAGATGAACAATATTTCTAAGTGTATTCTTTTCATTGCATTGTTGCATGTTCTTCAGAAATCTTTGGCTCTGAGAGTGCCCTTGCAGATGTCTGTCAGCTTTCCTGATATCTAGGAAAGAAGAGAATAACAAATTCTTCCATAAGAATGTTATGTAATAAAAGTGCTTCAAAGATGATTTGGTGGCACTGACTCTTTATTGTCAACTGTATGATCCCAGTATAAAAGAAAATTAGGGTTGGCCAGTTAGCTCACTTGGTTAGCATGGTGCTGGTAACACCAAGGTCACGGGTTTGGATCCCTGTACAGACCAGCTAGGAGAAAAAAACAAAAAAAGGATGCAAGAAAATTATAAACATGTAAAATGAAATAAATAAGGACCAGATATAAGAAGAAACATACAGTAAATTTAAAGCTAAACACCCTTAAAAAAAAAAGTTCCTATATGGGGAGATCAATATGTGGAAGACCTGTTTAGGAATCCTTAGGTGCTTCACAGCTATGACACTATCCCTTAATGACTAGAATTTGACTTCCTTAGCCTTTCCCCTTGCTGGTTCTCACTCACACACCTGGACAGGTTCTATTCTGGGTTTTATCTTCTATTATCCATGGTTCTTCTCCTTGTTCCAGCTTGGAGAGTATTTCTGGTTTGCTAGCTTGATACCCTGTTCATGAGAAAAGACAGACTATTTAGAAATGTACGTGATATTAGGGTACATTATGTCAAGATAGAAAAATATTACATTTGAGAAACATAATGATTTCTCATAAGCAACATAAAAGTTCTCTTTCAGAATAGGGGAGATTACACCACTTTGTTTGGGGCCAGGGAGACTGAAATTCTAACATTTCAGAACACAATGACTATAAAGCTTTCATTAGGTGAGGAAAAAAAAAATGACAGTGAGAGAAAAAAGGACGGGTGAGGAAAAAAGGGGTGGGGGCACTCTCTAGGTGACACATGGGGACCTATCCTTACCCAGTGATACCAGATGGTTATAGTTCTCCAACATCACGTCCCAGTACAGGTCCTTCTGAACAGGGCCCAGGAGCTTCCACTCCTCCCAGGTGAACTCCACAGCCACATCCTCCAGTGTTAGTGATTCCTGTAATAACAAAGTCCTGTTTAATATGATGTGAATTCCTATTATTAATTTAGAAGAAATATGAGGGAAGTTATATATTTAGAAGTATGAGGGAAGTTTTTCTAATGTTCACCATGTAGCCTGTATATATGTTCCTTTCTCAAATACATTTTGGTGGGAGCAAAATCCTGTGTTTCATCTGTACATTTTAGCAGTGATTTTTAAATACTAAACATATGCAAAGGACATCAGGACAAATAAAACATTCCTACATTACCAGAGACTTCATAGCCAATGTAAGAATCAACCATGAACAGATTCCACATCCTAAATTTACAAGACAGTACTTTTAAATAAATGTAAGAGAATAAAAGAAACTATACAAGTTATATCTAAAACACAAAAGACCATTAAAGTTGATTAGAAAGATTTGGGTTAACAAGACAAACAAAAAAACAACTTTTAATAGAAAATCATGTATACAGTCGTCACTCAGTAACTACTGGGGATTGGTTCCAGGATTCCCCCCATCTCCTCCCAAATATCAAAATCCAAGAATGCTCAAGTCCCTTATATAAAATTGCACAGTATTTGCATATAAACTATACACCCCCAACCCCTGACCTCTGGGGAATGGAGAGGTACTGGAGAGTGAATCCAATCACCAATAGCCAATGATTTAACCAATCATGCTAAGTACTAAAACTGCCATAAAAACCTAGATGGAGTAGGGGGGTTGGAGAGCTTATGAGTTCCCAGATATGCAGAGGTACTGGGAGTGTGGTACCCCCAGAGAGGGCATGGAAGTTCTGTGCCCCTCCCCCATACGTTGCTCCATACATCTCTTCCATCTGGCTGTTCCTGAGTTGTATCTTTTTACAATAAACGAGTAATCTAAGTAAACTGTATTCCTGAGTTCTGTCAGTTGTCCTAGCAGATAAATGTTGGCGAACCAAGTGGGGTCCATTTGCCCATTAAGACACAGAAAGTCAGTCACCAAAGGAGATATCTTTGTAGTAAAGAAAGAAAGTTTAATCACAAGGCAACCATTATGAGAAGACGGGAGATTTGCACCTCAGATCCATCTTGCCCTCAATGAGAAGGACAGTACATTCACGGGTGGGGGCGGGGGGGGCGGGGAGTTGTCAGGGTCAATGCAAGGCACAGGGGATCTTGATTTGTTAAAAGGTTTGGAGGAGTCCTTCAGTGATCCGCACCTGCGCAGGCTGTCTGTATATTCAGAAGATGACTACCTTAAAGGATCTAATGTTGTTGGTCCTGCAATGTTAATGTGCTTAGAGCGGGCACCCTAAGAGGAAGGGTGGGTCGAGGGGTGATTCTCCTACATTTTCTCCCACAATCCTCTGGTGACTTAGGTTGGGTGCTTGTGAGAGGACTTGGGGGGAAGGGGGCGTGGGACTCTCCGTGGCTGTCTGCATATTCAGAAGATGACTACCTTAACAGGATCTGGAGGTGGAGCCCTCAACCCTCTGATGTCAAAGGTCAGATATTCCAGCAGACTCAGTAGAGATGTCTATAGGCTTAGCCAGCCTAGCCGGGTTTTTGTTGGGTCAAGCTAACCCCAATGATCCTGAAAAAAACCTTAGGCACACAGCTCATTCCTTCTATGCCAGAGGGGCATTATCTTAAAAGGCAAATAGGAAGTAACAGAGTGAGAGGTTAGCTATGGAAACTTACTGAAAGAACAAGCAATTTTTTTTTTTCCTGCTGGCTGGTACAGGGATCCATTGAACCCTGGACCATGGCATTATCAGCACCATGCTCTAACCAACTGAGCTATCAAGACAGCCCTAGAATAAGCAACGTAAACAGGGAATAAATTTTAACTGAAAAGCTACAGTTACACAAACATGAGGAGGGGGCCATAGGAAACTCTGATTTGTAGCCAAGTTGGACAGAAGTTGTGGGTGAACAGGAGACCCAGCACTTTAAATTGGCTACTGAAGTAGAAGGCAGTCTTATGGGACTGGAGCCTTAACCTGTGGGGTATACATTAAACAGTTAGTGTCTGATCTGAGAAAACTGTAGAATACCCAGCTGGTGTCCTATGAAGAATGGAATTGATGTGTAGGGGAAAATCCACACATCTGGTATAGGAAGCATTGTGTGACTGTAGAGAGAAAAAGCTTACTTTTCTTATACACTGGCACTCTTCTAAACTTTTTTTTTTTTAAATATCATTTTCAACATACAATGTGATGATTATTATGGCACATTATCGAAACCTCCCTCCCTCCTCCCTCTCTCCCCTCCCACCCCACAATGTCCTTTCTATATGCTTGTTGTGTCAACTTCACGGAATTCTAATTATTATGTCTTCTTCTCCCCCCCGGTTTTGTGCGCGTGCGCGCGCGCGTGTGTGTGTGTGAATTTTTTTATTTATTTTTATCTCCCACCAATAAGTGAGAACATGTGGTATTTCTCTCTCTGTGCCTGACTTGTTTCACTTAATATAATTCTCTCATGGTCCATCCCTGTTGTGGCAAATGGCAGTATTTCATTCGTTTTTATAGCTGAGTAGTATTCCATCGTGTAGATATACCACATTTTCCATATCCACTCATCTGATGATGGACATTTGGGCTGGTTCCAACTCTTGGCTATTGTAAAGAGTGCTGCTATGAACATTGGGGAACAAGTATACCTTCGACTTCATGATTTCCATTCCTCTGGGTATATTTCCACCAGTGGGATAGCTGGGTCATATGGCAGATCGATTTGCACTTGTTTGAGGAACCTACATACCTTTTTCCATAGAGGCTGCAAAATTTTGCATTCCCACCAACAATGTAAGAGAGTTCCTTTTTCTCCGCAACCTCGCCAGCATTTTTCATTCAGAGTCTTTTGGATTTTAGCGATCCTAACTGGAGTGACATGGTATCTCAGTGTAGTTTTGATTTGCATTTTCCTGATGCTGAGTGATGTTGAGCATTTTTTAATATGTCTGTTGGCCATTTGTATATCTTCCTTAGAGAAATGCCTACTTAGCTCTTTTGCCCATTTTTGAATTGGGTTGCTCGTTTTTTTCTTGTAAAGTTGTTTGAGTTCCTTGTATATTCTGGATATTAATCCTTTGTCAGATGTATATTTTGCAAATATTTTCTCCCACTCCGTTGGTTGTCTTATTTTTTTTTTAACCTATCAGCATGATATTTTATTAAGTTAACATTAGAAAGGCGATTAAGGGCTGACCCTGTGGCTCACTCGGGAGAGTGTGGCGCTGGGAGTACAGCGGCGCTCCGGCCACAGGTTCAGATCCTATATAGGGATAGCCAGTGCGCTCACTGGCTGAGTGCGGTGCGGGCGACACCAAGCCAAGGGTTCCAATCCCCTTACCAGTCACAAAAAAACCACACACACAAAAAAGGCGATTAATTTTAAGTAAAAATAGTGCAAAATAGCACTTGGTAATTTAGTATTCCACAATTTTGTATCTTTGATTAAGAAAGATACAATCTCATATTTCCCACCTGAAAAGAACAGGAAAGCACTCAGATACTACAACAGTGAGGCTTCAGATATATTGAGACTAGAATGTAGACCAAGCAAGCTTATTGCTAAACAGAATTATTAATTTATTTTTTTGCAAGTTCATATTTTATTTTTAACTTTTTTACAGTTTTTTTTATTTTTTATTTTTATTTTATTTTATTTTATTTTTTTAATTTTATTTTGTAGATATACAATGTGGGTGATTATTGTGGCCCATTACCGAAACCTCCCTCCCTCCTCTGTCTCCTCCCTCCCAGCCAACAATGTCCTTTCTGTTTGCTTGTTGTATCAACTTCAAGGAACTGTAGCTGTTATGTCTTCTTCCCCCATCGGTTTTTTTTTGAGTTCCTTGTATATTCTGGATATTAATTCTTTGTCAGATGTATATTATGCAAATATTTTCTCCCACTCTGTTGGTTGTCTTTTAACTCTGTATGGAGATGATCATATGGCCCTTGTGTTTGATTTTATTAATATGGTGTATCACATTTATTGAGTTGCATGTGTTGAACCAACCTTGCATCCCTGGGGTGAATCCCACTTGATTGTGGTGAATAATTTTATGTATGTGTTGCTGTATTCTGTTGGCTAGTATTTTAGTGAGGATTTTTGCATCTATATTCATCAAGGATATCGGCCTGTAGTTTTCTTTTTGGGTTATATCTTTACCTTGTTTTGGTATCAGGATGATGTTTGCTTCATAGAGTGAGTTAGGGAGATTTCCCTCTGTTTCAATCTTTGGAATAGTTTTTAAAGAATCAGTGTCAATTCCTCTTTGAATGTTTGGTAACATTCTGCTGTGAATCTATCTGGTCCTGGGCTTTCTTTGTTGGGAGTTTTCTGATAACAGCTTCAATCTCCTTTATTGTTATTGGTCTGTTCAGATTTTCTACATCTTCATGGCTCAGTTTTGGGAGCTTGTGTGTGTCCAGAAATTTATCCATTTCCTCCAGATTTTCAAATTTGTTGGTGTATAGTTGTTTATAGTAGTCTCGAATGATTCTATGTATTTCAGATGAATCTGTTGTAATATCACCTTTTTCATTTCTAATTTTTGTTATTTGAATCTTCTCTCTTCTTCTGTTTTTGTTAGACATGCTAATGGTTTGTCAATTTTATTTATCTTTTCAAAAATCCAACTTTTTGATTCATTTATCTTTTGTATTGTCGTTTGGGTTTCAATTTCGTTAAGTTCTGCTCTGATCTTAATGATTTCTTTCCGTCTGCTAACTTTAGGTTTGGATTGTTCTTGTTTTTCTAGTTCTTTAAGATGAAGTGTTATTTCTAGTTCTTTAAGATGCAGTGTTAGGTTGTTCACTTGCCATCTTTCCATTTTTCTGAGGTAGGCATTTAATGCAATAAATTTCCCCCTTAGTACTGCCTTTGCTGTATCCCACAAGTTTTGGTATGATGTATCATTATTTTCATTAGTTTCAATAAATTCTTTTTGATTTTACTTGATTTCTTCTTGGACCCATATGTCATTAAGTAGAATGCTGTTTAATTTC